AAAGGTTTACTCAAATTTATCGACAAGAAGAATCGTCAAATCGATGAGGACTCTAATATCAGGACGATCCAATTGTAATTGTTAATGCCCAATTAGCAATGATATGATATTTCAGAACACTTTATTTTCCAGGTCTAAAGATTCGCCAACCTGAGTTGATGAAGCACCAGATGCGAATCGATAAAGCCCGGTTGGCGATGATCATTTGGTGATATGCAACGAATGAACTGTGCACGAGTGGTGTTCAACGTTTCAAGCAAGTTCAGTAACTGCTCCTTAAAAAAGCAATATTCATCGCGATGCACCCATCAGAAGCATGTCAATTGCAGATGATATGCAACGAAAGTCACCTAAACAGTTCACTTACCTTATACATGTGCGAGACTGTACTGGCACATAACGATGGTTTTCGAGGTCTGACTGCTCCATTCTTCGCTGAAACTGGTCATATGTGAAGTAAAATCGAACAGCCTCTTTCACGCCGATATTCAGTATTCTATGTTACATTCAATGGGTTGATAAGGATTTCATTAAAATACCGAATTGTGTGATTTGGCTAAAACTATAATTCGATGAAACCTTCATGCGACCGCCCTTCGTACTATTCTTCAACTTTACAACACATCAAAAAATGTTCGATAGATCAAGTCGCATACAGTGTACTCGAATTTATTGAAGAAATTCAATTTTTTTAGAAATATAAAAGATTTTTGGGAACATGCGACGATTATAAATCGCATGAGAAATTAGCAGCATACGTTTCGGGAAAAGTGCTTGCAGGATCGGTTTTTTACTTTCACTCAGCACATCTAGTCCACTGCGCTCCACAGCGTCTTTATTCTTCTCAACCCATCCATCAATGTTGTATTGTACTTTACCAGCATAATGCACCACAGAGAAGTGCGCAATCGTCGTATTCCTGCAGTCAAACCACAACTAATTTCACTATCAATTTAACTTAATTGATATATTTACTTGATGTTGAACGACTTATTGAATGAATATTCGTTTAAATTTTCAATGTTCACTTATCTTATGATGTTTCAAATGATGATGAGAATAACACTAGTGACAATAATAAAACTTATCCACCTCGCCGACTGCTTAGAGCGGGCGAAGACAGGATTTGACGAATGTGTTGTGAGAAGTTTCTCAAGTAGTGACTGATCACTTCCGTTTGGAACCACACATTCTTCTTGCAACAAAGAAAGTAATCCAAGGGGCTGAAAACTCATAACTTTTCCAAATCTCAACTTATGAAATTCTTAAGAAAATGACGGCACTTCTGACCAACATCAGAAATAAACACGTAATGGACTCATCCTATCCAATCAAGATCAGCTGATATATTCACTTACTGTTTTCATAATTTTTCTAGTTTAAAAAATGATTGACTCATTCATAATGGGATCATTAAAAGTAAGTCGAATGAGTTCAAAAAGTCACCTTCTCAATGAGTTCAATTGTGTTTTGCATATCAGTTCCATAGTCAACTTCTTGCCATTCGATACCCTCACGCATATATTCTTTTTGTTCACGAATAAACATAAAATCGTTGAAGAATTGTTGTAATTTCTCGTTTGTATAGTTCACGCAAAACTGCTCGAAACTGTTCATCTGAATGTTGAAAGTGTTTTGAGGTGTTAATGTCAACGAGATGAATTCTTCATCAAAACATGGTTTCGTCCAATAACATTATTGTCATAATTTAACTGTCTGGAGAACTATGCTTGCTTGATGACCCACCAACGCAAAAGGCTCTTTCACAAAAACTCGAAACAAACCTACCTTCATAATCTCGAAACCAGCCATATCCAACACGCCAATGTAATTCGTTTTAGATGAAGACTCAACTGAAACATGTGTGCATTTCATAGAATATGGATGTGCATGATCGACAGGTGATATCAATTGCGAAATGATAAAATCTAATCAATTACTGTGTCCTGAATGAATAACATGAATTTAATTGTTATCACAGTAGAATTTGGAAGAATTAAGCAAAAAAGATTACGCG